CTGGGCGGAGTGCTGCAATCAACCGCCAATATCATCGGCTTGGAAGGACATCGCAGTCAAATTCGACTTCGTGGTCATGCAGCCGGTTGGCACTATGGCAATGCGCATCTTTTTTGTCACACCCAATCTGGCTGACGTTCGTGCACCGTTGATGTTGCAGCTGCATCTGCAGACGAATGGCATTGCCGAAGTGGAGGCACAGAGTATTTGCTTGGATTGGGACGATGAAATCCCGGGCTTGCCTACGGCTGCGACCATGCGAAGAATCATTGCTCGAGATCCAGTGTCCCAGGCTCGGTTTTTCCATCTTATGATGAAGATCTTTTTCGAAGAGCTGCTTGGCATCGAGCCGACTTTTCAAAAGGAACGGTATGCAGTTGGATTTCCACGCTGCTTCGAAGATGGCATGGCAACTTCATTGTATGGTGGCATCTTTGGTGATATTGCTGCTTTGTGCGGCCCGCTCGAAACGCAAGGAGAATCGAAGCAAGTAAATCGGATGAGTTTTAAATCTTGTTTGCACATATATATCGTGGATGATATGCCATATGATCTCATTGATGTGGTTCTGTGCGCCTACCTACATACATACATACATACATACATAATTTGATACATACATACATACAGACATACATACATACATATATGCATACACACATGATATATGTTTGCTTTGGATACCGATTGTTCGAGGTCGGTAGTTGTTCGATTCCGGGAACGTAAGATTCACTGATGAAGTAAAAAATACTAGTGACTGTCAGGACGTGGATCCATGCATCCACATATCCTCATCGTCTTGCTGGGTCATGACCTCATCAGTCGTGTGCACACCTTGATGCGTCGCATTGGACATGGCGAGCTGGTGGTGGAACTGCAAAGGTGGAGTCGCAAAGTGTTGGAAGCTGCTGCGAAGATTCGCTGGGACAGTCAATTGGCTTTGTCCGATTGCTTGAATGTAGAAGGTACACCTTTGCCGTTTTCCGAAAAGCAACGCAGTGAGTGTGGCAAACAATATGCGGAGGTACCGCTTCAAGCAACGGAACCAGATGGTCATGAGATCATTGCCGATCGAGAACAACAAGTTGGTCCTCCACGTTTGACTGGCTGCTTTGCATCGCTGCGACCGCGATATCTACGACGCAAACTTCATGAAGAGTTTCCCCGTGAAATTTGGAAGACTGCCTTTTGTTCTGATTATCGACGACTGGTGATTCAGAATCATTTCCACAAGTGCACAAAGTCGTGTTTCAAGAAGATCCTCGACCAATTTAGTGCATTTTTTTGTTTTGATAGAAAGTTCCTTTCGTAACCACCTTTTGGAGCATGTTGTGCATAAGTTTTGAAACTAGTGGCCAGAACTCAAACGGAAATATTATAGCGGTATATACTTGTGGGACTATATGATGAGACCATGTTGAAATACAAAAAGGAAGAACATTGTTCGAGACCGGAAGTTGTCCGAATCTTACAATTTGTCTTCCATCAGAAGTAGTAAAGTCGATGTATATTAAGATCTGTTTGATATGGGAACCTGGTAGTGAGAGATAATAGTTTGTTTCTGTGGTGGAAAATTGTTCGAGACCGGAAGTTGTCCGAATCCTACAATTCATATTCCACCATCTTTATACGGATAAATGTATAGATGTATGGAAATAGTAGCAAGAGTTAGGACACGGTTTGGAACATCTTCATTACGATGGTGTGTTTTTGTTTTTGCCAGGAGTGCCAAGAAGGGAAAGCGAGGCTGTCGATTTGGTTGCTTTCATGTCGAACTTTTCAAAGACGAGACGGATGGGAAGATGAAAACACGTTGCTATAAAGGATGGCCTCGAGTTCAAGAACCTCGATTTGTTCGATTGCCTCATGAAACAGCCGATGTCACATTGCTGGAGCATTTCAAAAAATGAGAATCCACACGTCATGCAGCCTCGCCGTGATCATCCTTTCGAGGGCATGAGCAATCCTGCAGCTCAAGTGGTCATGCGATGTAACGTGGATGTGAAGTATTTGGGTCGTGCATTCGATGCAGCTGATTTGGAGAAAGTAGCATCAGAAGTCGGTGGTTTGTCCGCACTGGATCCTCAAGCATTGCCTGATACTGATGCTGAGCCACAACAGTCTACAAGTGCCTCCAGTGTTGATGTCCCAATGCACGACGTCAATTTGGACAGTGGAGATGTCGATGACAGCATGCAAGTTGTTCGGGAACAGGTGAAAAAGCGGAAGACTGCCACCATGAATGCTTTGGGCCCTCACAAAGATACTTCGCAGTTCTCGCATACCATGGAGCGGATTGTGATTGATATGTTTCGTGACATGGAGGATGTGCGGTTCTACACTGGTGAGTATGCAAGTAAGAAATTTGAGGTCTCCAGAAACTTGCTCCCTGAACTGTATGCTGGTGTGCAGAAGTTGGAAACAGAAGAGACCGAGCGTCTCCAAAGTGCCAGCATCGAAGAAGATGCAACTGCGCCCCAGGCAGCGTCCTCTGCCAACCTGCCTGGGGGTCAGCAGCAGCACAGGGCACTCAGCATCCTCCGACGCCTGGCTTTCGGCATGCAGCGATGCGTTGCAAAATCCAACGGAGAGATGGCGTACCAGCTTTTGTACGAACAGGAACAGTATGTGACGTTTGGAGGGTACAACATGTTCTTCCGCTACATCCCCTATGCAATCATGCAATGCCGATTGCAAGCACTCACGGATGCGTCAGCCGACCATCCTGAGTGCGCCGTGCCACCCCTCGATGTCCCGCCTCCTGATGCAGCGGCAGCCTTGCCCATTCAGGAGGTGGCGGACATCGAGGAGGAGGTGGACGGCAGGGGAAGCAAGAAGCAGCAACTGGCACACTTCAACCAGAAAGATGACTTCTTGCATCGCGGTTCCCATCCACTGCTTCGTTCCATGTCGCTGCTGATGTATTCCAGGTTTGTTCGACGTGTGGATCGCTCCAAAGCAGGTCAGGCCGATGGATTGCAGTTCTTCGAGTTCGATGCACACTATCCACATCACCGTTCTTCGCTGCAAGAGGTCCGACTTGCGGACAACAATGTGGTCGTGCCAACCGACCTTCGTCTCCCGGCCGACCACGAGACAGAAAAGCTGGCTGCTTACATGTTGGGCTTGACTTTTCCGTTCCCAACTTGCACCGGCGATTGCAACAACTCGCAGCATTGCTTCGCTTGTCATGTCGTGGAAGTACATGAAAGCCGTCGGGAGATCACTGCACGATTTACACCCGTTTGGCGGCATTGGAATGCCAGCATGAAAGTTCGACAAGAAGCAGCGCAGACAAGAATTTTGGCTGGTCTATCCGTACCGGTGTTGCGAGATGTTGTTGGTGCGCGAGCATGGTACAGTGCAAAAGCAACTCCTGGACGTCGTTTGTTCGCCGACTTCATGAAGAAGCTTGTGCAGCAACATCTGGGTCGGGTCGAAAGCGTGTTTGTGGATATTCCCCGCATTCATGAGCTGATCTGTATGTATTTGAATGTCGAGCCACAGTCGCACTATTCACAGTTGACTCCTTTGGAACACTTGCGCACTTTGCAGTTATCGTGGTTGGAACGATACAGGTTACACCAGGCGGCACGGCGACTCAGCAGCAGTCAACGTCGCGCCGAGCGCTTCGCCTACATGAGCAATGTTGACATGGAAGAAGCCGATCCAGAGGAGGATGAGACGGGTGCGGTGGACATTGAAGGCGAAGATGCAGATGATGACATGCAGCACGCAGATGCATTGGAACGCATGGAGTGTGCTCCACATCCAATCCACAAAGACTCTCTGGCTGATGCTTTGTTTCGTGATCGTGAGTGGTATGCTGTCATGGCGAACTCCAAGGCGAAGGCGTTGAAAACTTCTCTGCAGAAGTTGATGCAATTTGTGAATTGTTTGGGTGGCGTGCCCGATGTCAAGCATGGTATGGGCATCCGAAGCAATGGCACGACTGAGCTGGATCGGACATGGAGTCACGCAGATACTGGACGAATTTTTGCGGCACAAAAGCAATATTTGGAATACATTGCCGGAGGCTAGGGTTTCTCGAACGTGTTTCCTTTGATGTAGTGACTGGATGCTTACACGTTTGGTTTAGTGTATTTTTGGACTTTTTGGTTCAGTTTTATTTAACCGGTTTGTACTTTGAATGAAAACGGTTCGAGACCGGAAGTTGTTCGAATCCTACCGTTTTTTCATTCAGAGTTGTTTAACCGGTTTGTTCTTTGAATGAAAACCGTTTGAGACCGGAAATTGTTCGAATCTTGACGTTTTTCGTTCAGAGTTTAACATGTGTGAGCAGTTCTCAACATTTTTTTTCCGGTGTTGTCTTGTCAAGTCTCATCTGGTCACAGGTGCAGAAACTGTGGATGCTGATATGGAGGATGTCTTTGCGGAGAACAGCTTCACTGAGTTGGAGACCTTGGATCCTTTTCT